TGGAGAAGAAGAGTATATTCCATATAAACAAACAAAACTTACCCAATATGAACCCAGGGAAAAGGAAACCAAAAACAAAATTGATTTTTCTAGGAGAAGATTTGTAATATTTCAATATAAATCAAGATTTTTGTGAAACTAAGAGGATTTCTCCCAACTATAGAAAGAGACAAGAAAACAAAATCTTTGGAGGGAACAATGCAGCATTGATGATAAATTGTTTTCCATCTCTATACGAAAGATTGGTCATCTGGCACCTTTGTCTGATGGAAATCATCCACCATCGATCTCTGTCAAAATTTTTCTAGGAAGAGGATAGAGTTGAAATACATGGATCTAAATTTGAAATACATAAGGTTGTGAGGGTATATCAAATACACAAATTTAAAGCAATGAAATACATGAACCCAATTACATATATTTGGGATAAATTCAATTACATACTTATTTTGTGAAAACAAATGGTGATATTGAATTTGGAAGGCTCAAATTCAAATACACCCTACGAAAATCACGTTCCCAAACGTACCGTTATAGAATTAGACAAGAATCACCTACAACACACAACAGTGAGCTTGCTTGATTCTTCTCGGATTCTCAAGCTTCAAGTGTGGTTAACAGGCTATTTCCTCTCTAATGCAAATGGACATACAAATGTTGGCCTAGGTTATTTGAGTTTAATTGCAGTCTACTTCCCAAAGTCCTAGATTTGCCATGTAATAAAGCATGTTGAAAACCTACTATAGAAAGCATCTAAAAGTTGGCTTTCCACTTTTATTCTAATCAGTGAAGGACAGGATTATTACAATTTTTGTTGACTGTGACTACTTTACTTCTCTTGGTTGATAGGTATGCACGTCAAGCTAAGATCCCATATTACAAAACGATTTATGTTGGACATCCTACAAAGGAACCCGTGCGGTATCATCAGAGGTGTTGTTTACTTATTTCTCACTATTGCCAAATTTAAAATAGAGAAAGTGATTTTTTTTTTATTTTTTTGGAGAAAGTTCAATAAAGTTCAACCATTGATTATATTTGGAGGGAGCTAAGGGAAGCACCTTTTTTTTTGGGGGGGGAACTAATACCAGCTATGATTCTGCACCATAGCTAATGCAAGGAATTGGACTAAGCCCCTGG